CAGCACCGTCAAAAAGAGGGAGCGTGCGAGAGAGGTCGGGGTCTTCGTGGTGCAGTGTTAGAGCCGACTGATTGACCTTCAACCCCACCAGGACATTATACCGACCGATAAACACCCGGTGACACAAATTGCCACCACTCGGATGAGGATCCCTCAGGGACAGGTCACAGAAACCCCGTTTAACCCATAGGCTGGGTTATATTAGGGCCCCCGGAAGCAGCAAATATGGGGCTTTTAAACCAGAAAAAAAAATGCTTCAGACTTTGTGATGCTGTAAGTGTATAGCAAGGAGTTACTAAACAGAACCAGAAACAAGACAGAGATAAAACCAACAGCCCCTCTTTAGAAAATCACCTCATTCATATTTTCAGCATTCTCAAAGCTGTAGGAATCGATGTTCAGCATATCTTATCTAAGTTTTATTTGTCTGCTAGATTTAATTGCCCGGGCTAGTTAAAGAATTGTATGATCCTGTCCTCAACTTGACCTTTGTCCCAACCAATGTTGTTTGTGAGATCATTGCCCTAAACTGCACCTGAGGATCTTACCGCCCCTGGGTCCTTCAGCCACCTATCAGTTCTGATCGACGAAGCTACCTCCCCCTCAGAGGAAGGCGGGGAATAGTGTCCATTATAGAAAGACTGGTCTGGTAGGCTCCTACCACCCCCATCCCAAATGCGACGATGCAGTTACTGCCCGTTCTACTGCCCCAATAACCTCCAATAGGAATATGGCACCAGGCGTTTCAAACGCTAGTCGAACCAATTTTGCAAATCAGAGTTAAAGGATAGATTTATCCCCTTGTTGTAAGTGGTTCACAGCTGTCTAATGCATCCTCGAATGTAACCATGTAACCCCGCTGAATGACTGTCGCTTTGTGTCAGATAGTGCAGACGCAGCAATCAGAGAAAGCACACATACCATCATAAGATTTGGGACGTTGCTTTAGAGATCTAGTATCATAGCACTCTAAGAGTCTAAGAAAAAAGTTCACATTGCGACAGCAGAACATTGATTTCTTATAGATGTAACTTATCATGGTTTTTGAACCGATGTGTGTGTATATATATATATATATATATATATATATATATATATATGATATATCATCAAGTGCCTTGTCGACTTGCATGGGTGATCATGCCTCTCCACAGTCTGCGATCTGCAACAGCATGTATCAGTTCGTGTGTTGACACCCATCCATGCCGTGACAAAATGCTGTCAAGAATCTTCTTTCGCCGGCTCCCCCTGCCTCTCTTTCCACATACATACATACATACATACATACATACATACATACATACATACATACATACATACATACATACATACATACATACATACATACATACATACATACATACATACATACATACATACATACATACATACATACATACATACATACATACATACATACACACATACATACACACATACATACACACATATTTATAGTTAAAAACAGACCGGATCCTTTTCATGCCAGTGGCCTGTCTGTCGTGCATATTATGCTCGCGGACCAATCGGTACTCAGCGTGTGATGTAGTCAACATCACCTCAGTCGCCTTATCTTACCTAACTTCAAGATGGTGCCAAGTTTAGTTTGGGTCGACCTCGGCGTCAAGGTCATCGGGAGTATGGGATGTGGGGAATCCCAATGGATGCGGAATCGAACCCGAAATCTAATGTCCGGCAGATGAGCGTCTACCCCTCGATCCCTGTCTGTCACTGACTGTAGTGTGTAAATGGAAAGTCCAGGACTGGAGAGTATGAGTCTCGAAAAAGAGACAGGGGTCGACAGCACGACTAAGACATGGGGTGGGGTATCAGTGAGGTCGCGTGCATGACACTTGACGGGGCGATGAAGTTGCCAGTGAACCCATGGCTTTACGGCTTTCTACAGAAAAGGGAAGGGGTGTCCTATAAGTTTTTACACACACACACACACGCGTGCACACACACACATAATCACACATACACACACACACACACACACATATATATACATATACATCCATCCATCCATCCATCATGTAGCAGGTCCTTTGCAGACGTAGCTCTCATCACAGTCTGAAGGAAACTCAGTCTCTCGCCAGCTCTCCCGCCTCATGTACTTTCATACTCAAGGAGTCACTTATATCCTGTGCCCATCTTCGTGGCACTGTCTCTCCTTCTTGATACCATGCCTTCTGTCATTATTTTTTTTCAATTCTTGATATTACCTAAATGTTTTAGCTTCCGAGACACAATGCTGTTTATTTGCCCAATGGTCCTTGATGTTCACATCTTTTAAAATGTCAGTAATTCTTCTCTTCTTTACCGTGGTGTTCTGAGAGTCTTTCTATAGCATGTCAGCACTGAAGCTCTTCATAAGTTGTCATACATGGTAAGAATAAACATTTCGCCAATGCCATTACAAGCGTTAACTCCAGTTGTGCTTGTACGTGTTTTCCGGCAGTTGAGGACACGTATTGAAATGTGTTTTCCGGCAGTTGAGGACACGTATTGAAATGCGTTTTCCGGCAGTTGAGGACACGTATTGAAATGCGTTTTCCGGCAGTTGAGGACACGTATTGAAATGCGTTTTCCGGCATTTGATTACACGTATTGAAATGCATTTTCCGGCAGTTGAGGACACGTATTGAAATGTGTTTTCCGGCAGTTGAGGACACGTATTGAAATGTGTTTTCCGGCAGTTGAGGACACGTATCGAAATGTGTTTCTAAAATAATGGTCGTCATTTAGTACATCTTGTACAAATGAAACTGCTGTCATTAAAATCATTTATCGTGTGTGTGGAAACGTCTGGAGCACCCTGGTATCTTATTTAAAATGTATAAAGCATGTATTTCGGAACCTGTTTTTTGTGCTTGGGAGCATGCTGTGTCAATGATGTCAGTACACTGTTTTTACTGAGGGCTGGATATTCAGTAAGTCGTGAGGTCAGTGTCACACCCACTGTTTTTATTTTTTTTTTTTTTTTTTTATAATATTTCCTGGTATTTATTTTTAAAACATGGGAGCCACAGAGTCAGCTGGCAGGTTGCTAGACAGTGTGCTACCACAGCTTATCAACCTGGCTTTACTAACATTAGTATACTGTGTGTCATTGTTGCATTCCTTACCTTCCATATGCTTGGTACTATAATCATCATGCAGTGAGCAGTGGCCAGTTGAACACTCAGGGGAGGAACGAGACGGTCATACAATCAGACTGTTGCTGGTACCAGGGGAATTGAACTCCGCACTTGCTGCTGAAGATGAGGACAGAGCGTATATGGAAATGCCGAGGTGTTATAATGTCTATTCCTAACTCTGAACTCATCATAATCATCATCTTTATTGTTAGGCGCTTTGGAAATTTATTTTCACATTTCTTTTATTACTTAACAGGTTACACACACATAGACGCCGGCGCACACACACACATACACACAAATATGGACACATGTGTGCATATATACAAGTACATCTTGCATGCTCATAAAAATACATAAGATATAATTTATGTTTTTCAAATGAATGAGTGACCAGCCTTAAGCAAAAAAAAATTGAGTTAAATAGGTGGCGCTTTTAACAGCTAAGAAAACAAGCCTACCTCCATGACTAAAGAGTTTAGCCTTCTCTCTCTCTCTCTCTCTCTCTCTCTCTCTCTCTCTCTCTCTCTCTCTCTCTCTCTTTCTCTCTCTCTCTCTCTCTCTCTCTCTCTCTCTCTCTCTCTTGTTGTACCCCACGAGGACATCACACAAGCGATAAACACACGGTGACACAAGGTGCCCCATGCAGATGAGGATCACCCGTGGAGAGGTCCCAGAATCCCTTTAAGCCGTTAGACCATTTTTAAGGTCCGGCTATATTCAGGGCCCCCGGCAAAAGCCAGGGTGGATTTTCGAATAACGACAAATGGCATCCCACATAGGGAACATCCTTCCGCCTTTTGTGGGTGCCCTGAAAGTCCTGAACCTGATCGCAGACAGCGTCATTCGGTTCCTTGGTGCATATTTTATAAAGATTTTTAAGATTGTCACTGGAGCTGTGGAATTTGTGCTTCATGTTTTGCTGTCAGCGGGCGGCTAACAATTCTGCAGAGTGGAACCAAGCCGTGCGGGAGACAACCCGGTACCATAAAACTGAATACTTTCTTTATTCAACCTGTTCAAGTGCATTAAATGTATTGTGTTCCTTTGTGCCAGATGCGCCCAGCTGACAGGACACGAGCAGCCGATCAGACCTCTCTGTTGTCTCACAAGGACCGGGTGGCGTCCAGTATTCCTGCAGGTGCAAGTGATGACAGATGGACAGAGCCAGCCAAACAGGCATTCTACAGTTCTATGCTCAGGAAGGGTGAGCACTTGGTTTGTATCGTAGTCTCAATTTAATGTCATGTTTTTCGTATGGCGTCCGCCTCGAGCGCTGGATGTCCCGGGTTCAGGCCCTGATGACGGCTGGGAATTTTTCCTTTGGCAGTTGGACATCGAAAAGAGTAGCCTAACGGCGCTGCCCGGGCAACATTTGAGTTTAAAATCTACCCAAAGTATTTTAGGATCCTCGCCGGTTCTACGGAGTTCGTGCACTGCGCTGAGACTCTTCCGACTCAGGCTTGAGTTAGAAGTATAACTAAGATGTATCGGTTACTACCTTGCGCCATGTTGTTGATCAGGTGCTTTCGATCGCAGAACTGTTCATAGAAGTTACACAAGGGGAGCAATAACCACAACTAAATATTATGAGTTACGAATGCCTGATTTCTCTAGTAGTCTTAGACCAAATGCACACCCAAAGAAACACAGAACACTTTGCTTAATGATTGGAATTGATGAAAACCAGTTTTTTGTTTTGTTTTGTTTTTAAATATCCAGAAACCATGAATTCTTAACCCTTTGGCTCGGTACTCTGGATATCGCAAACTGTCGGCCTTCATTCCATGATAAATATCGTAAATCTGGGAGAAATGTGGCTTTTCTGCCAACCCCCGGGCGTGTACCCGAACCACAAGGAGTTCGTCACCCGGTCGTCGCGAAGTCAGTTTTAGCCAGCTTCTAGCGAGCCGGATAACCTGTTGATTTCACCTGATGCATCCCATGGCACCAAAAGAGTTCAATATCAGTTGCACTGGGATTAATTCCGTGTATCTCTGTCTCTCCCAGCAGAACTACTGGTCGCCTGCCTAGAGCCGTGGACAAAGCGTCGAGTTAGTTTGTGTTATAACTGACCCTGGTTCTCCGGTCACGCAGCCAGCGATGATGGGGAATGTTGAACTCGAGATTTATCCTTGTCCGTGAGGTAAAGGACCTTTTCCTACGCCTGCAGGCTCAGAGGGCATACAGTACTTAGACCTATGTTTTATAGGTCAATCAGCATTACGCTGGCGGCCTTTCCTTCCTAGGACTGTACCTGGTACCCTTTAATCCTGGATCAGCCTGAGAGCCTCGGTTATTTTTGAAAGGAGAAAAAAGCCCCTTGTCTGTGAAGCTGAGAATAAAGAAATGTGTGTCGTCTGCAGGTTGGATATTCAAGGAGACGGATATGACGTCAGAAAATATGAAGAACATGCTGAAGATTCACAGCGCCAATCATGAACTTGCCTGGAGGGAGGTGCTCAAATGGGAGGCCTTACATGCAGAGTAAGTGTCTGATCAGTTGTTGGGATTGTTATATTTTTACTAAATCTACTGACATTGTTATGTTTGACTCAATCTACTGACATTGTTATGTTTGACTCAATCTACTGATCTTGATGTATTTTACTACACCTGCTGACATTGTAGTTAACTAAATCAACTGTCATTGTTATGTTTTACTAAATCTACTGACATTGTTGTGTTTTACTAAATCTACTGACATTGTTGTGTTTTACTAAAGCTACTGATCTTGATGTATTTTAGTTAACCTACTGACCTTGTATTTAACTAAATCTACCGATCGTGTTGTGTTTTACTAAAGCTACTAACATTGTTACAGTTTACTAAACCTACTATCATCGTTGTATTTTATAAACCCGCTGACTTTGTCAATTTGTTTTACAATACCTAATAACATTCTTCTTCTTCTTCTTCTTCCTTCTTCTTCTTCTTCCTTCTTCTTCTTCTTCTTCTTCTTCTTCTTCTTCTTCTTCTTCTTCTTCTTCTTCTTCTTCTTCTTCTTCTTCTTCTTCTTCTTCTTCTTCTTCTTCTTCTTCTTCTTCTTCTTCTTCTTCTTCTTCTTCTTCTTCTTCTTCTTCTTCTTCTTCTTCCTTCCTTCTTCTTCTTCCTTCTTCTTCTTCTTCTTCTTCTTCCTTCTTCTTCTTCCTTCTTCTTCTTCATTCTTCTTCTTCCTTCTTCTTCTTCTTCTTCTTCTTCTTCTTCTTCTTCTTCTTCTTCTTCTTCTTCTTCTTCTTCTTCTTCTTCTTCTTCCTTCTTCTTCTTCTTCCTTTTCTTCCTTTTCTTCTTCTTCTTCTTCTTCTTCTTCTTCTTCTTTTTCTTCTTCTTCCTCTTCTTCTACTTCTTCTTCATCTTCTTCTTCTTCAGCATTCCGAGCCCTTGGTGTTCATTGCTGCAGATATCCCCCGCCTCTACTCATCTCTCTAGTTGGCCTTTTCTTTCCAGTTGGTAACACCAAGTGTTTGCAGGTCTGTCTGGACATTATCTCTCCATCGTCTTCTTGGTCTGCCTCGTGGTCTACGACCATTCATCTCCCTTGTGTAGACAGTTTTCACTTCTCTGTCATCTGACATTCTTTCAGTATGCCCCAACCATTTCAGTCTATTAGCTCTCATGATGCCAGTGATCAATGGTGATTTGAACAGACCATGAATTTTGCTGTTGCCTCTCACACTCCATTCCCCGCCGTTTGCATCTTTGATGGGTCCAAAGATTGGTCATAAGACTCTGCTCTTGAAAATCTGCAACAAGGCTTCATCTCTTCTAGTTGTGCTCAGAGCCCTAAACAACAACCAGTCCCATCAATGTTTTATATATGTTGATCTTGGTTTTTGCGAGATAGGAACTTTGACTTTAGCTGATGTGAACCCAAATGAACAACAAATGAAACACCCCCACCCACGCCCCCTTTTTTCCCCGCCCCCTTACCTACTTTTTTTTAAATTTTTATTTAAAAGTTATTGCCTTGCAGTGTTTGACTAAATCCACTGGCCATGGTGTATTTTCAGTGAGTGCAAGGAACCAAAACTAAAGAGCTGCTCGGCTGTTGGGACCAAGTATTCTCCCAGGGCTAGGCTTAGATCATGGATAGGGTAAGTTGTAGCACTGCTGGCTTGACTTCTTCTTCTTTCCTCTACTCCTGAAATGCCTGGCGGCGTCAGGGCAGGAAGAGATCTCTGGGACGGGCCCTTCTTTTAGTTTCGTATAAAGTACTTTTCAGTGTCTCTCACATTTCTCCGGTCCATGATCTGCGCTGTCTACCTCTGGGTCTGTTACCGCTGTATCTGTATAACATTGCTCGCTCTGGTGCCCTGTCTGAATGCCAATCTTGTTACGTATCCAAACCATTTAATTTGTTGTCTGTCTATAAAGTTCAATATTGGTTCTGTGACGACTCTCCTCCTGATATGATCGTTGCTAAGTCGATCTTTCCTCGTTACACCTAGCATAGTACGTAAACATGTCATTTCTGTCGTGACTATCTTTCTTCTATCTTCTAAAGTCAGTGTCCATGTTTGACATTGATAGCATAACGTTGGTAAGGATATTTGTGTTGAACAGTTTTTTTTTATAGTGTTCATATTCTCCTTCTGTCCCAAACAACGTGTTGTGTGTGACGGGATATTGTATTATTCATTACACCAACCAATGTCTTATGTTTGTTTTTATGTCTTATTTATAATAAGGGATTATAAGGATTTCTTTGCATTTTATTTGTTTAATACACGGATTGGGTACTGACCCGCTGTGGAAGCAGTGTTCCTATTAGTTTACGGTTGTTATCATTGTCTACTTTACACATCTAAGTAGATGTGGCACGGCCACTTTTTTTTTTTGGTTGCCAGGCGGTGGCCGTCGCATTTTTGCTCCATTTGTAGACTGGAAGCATATAGTTTCGTCGCCCAGCTTCTGAGTTGAGTGCATGGCGTGACACTGTGAGCTGTGTGTTTTTTTCGTTGGCACAGGAGCGGAGCATCTGTGGGGTAACCCGTTTGCTATGAAGCTGAAACTATGATTACCAGATCTAAGAAGAAGAAGATATAGACATCTTGGGTTGACAGTCACAGCGTGTCGTGCGGTTTAGCCGTTTGTCCCGGGTTCTTGAGTTCTACAGGTCCGCTTAGGACTCTGCGCCTCGGCTCACGAATGCATGCAGGTTTTTGAAGATCCCTAAAGGGTTGTTACTGGAGCTTCGGAGTTTCAGCTTTGTGACGCTGTCGTGCTTTGTGAGCTCCCAGATCCTCTAGGTAGAGATGCCGAGCTAGCTAGACTACAGCCGGGTGGAATAAAGTTCATAGTTTTTAAACACCCTTCGCGCCCGGCTCGCTAGCGTAGTTGGCTAAACCGGATTGCGCGGTGACCGGGTGACGAACTCCTTGTGGTCCGGGTTCACGCCCGGGGGTAGGCAGAAAAGCCACATTTCTCCCAGATTTACGGTATTTACAATAGAATCAAGGCCGAAAGGTTGCGATATCCATAATACCGAGCCTAAGGGTTAACAACTCATGGCTTCTGGATACTTGGCAATCAGATATACTTTCTGTTGAATGAATCAGGGGGAACCACTCTCGGCCATGTTCTTCTAGGTCCATGAAATATATCGCCGCCTTGGAAAAGATTCAATCACGTGACCACAAAGCCAGCAGGGCAGGGTTCTAGCCACGGGGCCAGCAGTCTTGTCTAGTCGGGTAAGAGTCCCCCATTAAGCTTATGACCCATCAGACATGTATATAATCTTAGAAAAATATTGTTATACAAGTAGATAATTTGGATAATTTTTCAAATTCGACCCTACCTGCCAGATCGACCGGCCTAATATGGATACCGGGGAAGTAAAGTTGACCGGTGCCATGCTGTCAGTCTCACCCATCGTGTACCAACTGGACTGTACACATAAGGTTCTTGCATCATATGTCCGGTGCTACATTGGCCAAAAAGGGTTCTTGTGAAAAGAAATTGCTGTGTATTTCTCTGGCCAAGAACTGCATATCTCATGTCTGTCTACAGTAGCTCTCTCACGTGGATCCTAACAAGAGCACTGAGATACCGAAAAGAATTATCATCGTCGTGTGGCTGGTCCTTTACAGAACGTCGCTCCCATCACAGTATGTCTAGAAGAGACAAGGTGGTCAGCCAGCTCTCCCGCATCCAGCACTTTTTTGTGTGTCTCTCAGACTGTATTCTTCTGCGCTCCGCGGGCCCTCTGGCTGTGAACGATTTCTTAAAACGAAGATTTACCTTGTTGTTTCTCAATTTACTGACTGTAATATAATACAGGGGCCGACCGACACGAAGATGGGCAAAGGATATATGTGACTCCTTGAGCGTGAAAGTACATGAGGCGGGAGAACTGACGAGAGACCGAGTTTCTTTCAGGCAGACTGTGATGAGAGCGACGTTCTGCAAAGGACCTGCTACATGATGATGATGATGATGTTACATAATAATGTTTTTTTTTTTTTTGCAGATATTCCCTGCCGTTTGATCGCCATGACTGGATTATCGATCGTAACGGCAAGGACGTTCGATACATTATTGACTACTACGATGGCGGAAAATTCAACGGCAACTTTGAGTTCGCGTTACTAGACGTTCGGCCGGCCCTGGATTCGTTTGAAGCCTTCTGGGATCGGTTGAGTGTCGCCATCTGGAAATGGACATCAGATTCCGGCGGCAGTGGGGTTCCAGGGAGTAGCCAGGTTTCTGTGACGTCTAGTGTCAGTGAACCATTGAATATTGGTGAGCGGTTGGGCGGGAAAACCGCGGAATCGCTAAAGGGAAAAAACACTTCTCAGTTCATGTCATACAATCTCAGCGATGTGGAGAAGGAGCGGGAGAAGAAGAATTCAGTCAGCTGAGAAGTGTGGGATGACTAGAGAAGGAATGCAGACAGGCTTTCTACACAAACATCAAACTCTTCGTCTTGGGAGTCTTTAGAAATTATCAAAGCCACTTAGAATAACTTAATCAAAATGACAATATATCGATCGGCACTGAATTTAGTTTTACAGCCAAGTTTTGTCTTTTCATTTATAATGTTATTTATTTAACATATGTCTGTGAAAGTTGAAGAAAACCACTAAAAATATGGAACGAAAGTTAAATGAATTCGAAAACAAATGCCCGAGAATAATAGTAGACATTTAATGGGATAACTTCCAGACGGGCGAAGAAATAAGAGAAATGCAGTATCAAGAGGTGTTAGAAAGAGAAGATGGAGCTATACCGAACAACAGTTTGAGAAGAGACCAACAGAGAATCATCAAACAGGCACTGAAATGGGAAATAGAGTGATTAAGGAAATGATGACGTCCAATAGAAACGCCCAGGCGAACGTTGATGAGAGAGGCCAAAGATACTGGACTGGATTTCATTCATGATATCGAAGTGGTTGCAGAGGATAGAACGGGAAATGGAGGAATATGGCATGGTACAACAGCAAAATGAATGAATGAACTCATAGAAAGAAAGTACAGAGATGGGATGGGTCTCGAGTTATTCAGCCGTCGATGTACACTTGTTCCAGCTGCGAGGCACAGTCGTCATTTGAAGGTGAAAGGTTAAGTTCCCAGTGTGGTAACTATAGCTTTCAATTTTCATGTTGTCTGGTATGTCTTACTGGTTTTCTGTTTCTTTCTATGAGTGCCAATCAATATATTGCCAGTTTGCTTATTATATAGTATCTACAGCCTCAAGGGTTCCCCGCCTCTTTACTCTTTTTTAGCTTGTTATATAAGCAGTAACTCAATCAAGCGTTTCCTCATAATTAAGTTTGGCTGTAATGAATCTCCGGTATTTTCCGTCGCTCATCCTGTCTATACATTCTGTCAGAACGTGCATTCCCCTTTAGATATATTCCCAGTTGTACTCGTGTCTACATATTGCTTGGTTGCTTACCTTCCACCTTTTCTTTCTATATCACGGAAATATATAAACCCGAAAAAAAGTATTTTAGCGAGCTTCACTATATAACTTACACAAACAAAACTTGAACGTTGCGGCTATATAACTTTCATCAGCACATACATAAATTAGACAATACTGCACAAATACACAATATTGCTTATTTTCATATCTTAAAGTAGCATGGTCAATGTCTAGCCAGTAGACTGACGGGACACGTGAGAACAGGAAAAAAACATATCACGAAAAAAGCCAGGGGCCATTACTGGAAGATAAGATAAAACTGTGTAGGCAGTCAAGTCCCCCAGGATTCTAGATGAAGCTGTGTTGACAGTTTAGTCCACTGGGCGCCAGAGTACCCAAAGTGTAAATAAAGCCTTCTGTTTGGTTCTTCCTGTTATGTCTTGTAATTGGCCAGAAGGTTTTACTTGTCTCCTCAGAACCTTTGTATTTTATTGTGTTTATTTCCGTGAAAAGTCACTTATGCTTCAAGATATCCAAGTCTCGAGGAGAGCAGTTCGTGGCAACTCCCACAGTCTGTCTAGCCTCTTGAAACGTTAGACTGTTCTTAGTGACTACTTTGCCATCAAACATCATGATTATTAATTCAGCGCTGAACAGGATAGTGATTATTTCCTTGTTGAACATCGTGGTGATTATTTCCCACAACTGACATCATAATGATTCTCCCCCATTGAACGTCAGTGTAATTATGTCCCCATTTAACATCATTGTGATAATTTCCCACTTGGACATTGTAGTGATTATTTCTTACAATTGACATCATAATGATTATTCCCATTTTGAATATCAATGTAATTATTTCCCAACTGAACGTCATTATGATGATTTCCCACTTGGACATCGTAATGATTATTTCCCAAATTAAACATCATAGGATTAACTATTTGGAACTGAAAACAATCGTCAATGAACTATGAGGTTCGTGCTTTGTGCAATGCTCTCGCTAGGCGGGCAGCCGTTCTGTGGAGAGAGGAAAAACTATATTCTTCTTCTTCTTCTTCTTCTTCTGCTCCTTCTTCTATGTATGTCTGTCATCGCTCCAGCATATGTCCTTGAGTAATCCATACCCAATCCTTTCTAAACTTGTTTATATATTTTTTTCCGTTTTTCAGATAAAATGTCCTACATTTATAAGGCTGTCAGTCTGACGCCAGCTCACATCAGTCACCTCTGATACAACATGGGGAGTGGGTCTCATTCTCTAGAACAGTGTAAAAGGCCTTGTTATGAAGTGTTAACATTTGTCAGGCAACACATGTTTTCTGTGCCTTGTTGTTGGCCAGTGATCAGGTTTCTCTTTAACTTGCTAATGTTTTTTTTTTCTCTTTCTCATTCCTCTTTAAGGGCTAGTGGCAAATAAAATTGTGACACCTTGCCGTGCCGACTATTGTTGATTTGTATGACCGTATTGTAGATGATTGTGAGCATGTTGCATAAAATATATCAAACTCTTTGTTCATTGATTCCTGAGAACGTGAGTCCGTACATTCTCAGTCTCACTCAGAAAATATAATATTGTCTGTTTTCTCTTGTATCTTATGTTGTTTAGCATGTGGCTGGGAACTCTGAACAATTTCTTGAGGCCTTCAAGATGTTGTACAGAAGAATCCTTAGAATTTCTTGGACAGCCAAAAAGAGCAATCCAGATGTTTTTGAAAAAGGCGCGGGCTCGGAGACAGCGAATGATAAACAGAAAGAGACAATCGTCATGTTTTGCCATTTTATGAGAAAAAGGACACGAAAATGTTGTAACCACTGGAAAGATCTGTGGAAAAGGAAGCAGAGAAAGACATCAGGAGCGATTCTTGATACCTTTTGACGTTGAGGGGTGTCAGCACACGAACTTATAGATGCTTTGTAAAATCGCAGAATGTGGAAAAGCATGATCCTCCAAGCCAAGGCACTTGATGATAGTGACTTTGTTTTGTCGAGATCATCATCGTGGTCATTAATTTCCACTTGGGAGCAAGTAAACAATGCTAAAGTGTGAATCGATCCTTATGGTGTAGAGAATGATGCAGTGGGAAGTGACTAGGATGTCTGGCTGACACTCAACAGTCCGGGGAAAGGCAAGACACGAATCAGACAGTTATTGGTACCATCGGCATTTAAACTCTTCGCTAGCTGTTAAAGATATGGACGGTGCGCTTATGGGAATGTCCCAAGTGCGGTAATGTTGGTTCTTAACGGAACTGAACTCACTTCTCTCAACAGAAGCGGGTCGCCCTTTGAGAGTGTTGCACAAAACCCGGTAGCTTCAGTAAATATCTGGAAGGATCTTCAAAAACCTGAAATCATAGAACCCACGGGCGGAGTCCAAAACAGATTCTAGAACCTTCAGAACGCAATACAGTTGTTGTGAACAAGGTCCGCTGGAAAACTGAAACCGTGGGGCTGCCAGCTAACAAGACCATAACTGGCGTAGGTGAAGACAGACACCAACCATAGGGGAACGCCATGCAAAAAAAAAAAAAAAACATTACTGTATGAGGGACGTCCTCAAAGACACGAAAATTAACTTTTACAACACATTAGAAAGAGCATGCATACGACCCTAACATCACTTCGATGTGATAACTGGAGGTAAGGAAGAAGAAGACTCAAGTACCTACAGATTAAAAAAAAACAAATAGCCTCGCCCCTGCTGGCTGAACTCGGAGGGCGGCCGTGCTAATCAGATGTACTAAGTAAAGTAAAGGTCCATTTTCCACGCCTTTAGGCATATAGGGCTAGACCTATATTTTTTATAGACCAATCGGCACAAGATAGGTGATGTGGTCAACATCACGCCGGCCGCCTCTACTTCCCGGGACTTCACCCGGTACCCACTCAAGGCCGGGTCAACTTAAGAGCCAAGGTCATTTTTGAAAAAAGTCTGGCTCTGCCTGGGAGCGAACCTACGACCTTCCGATCCGCGGCGAGCGTCTAGCCGCTCCGCCACAGGGACTCCCAACAGGTGTACTACTCGGGGTTAATTGTTGGATACACAAGCGATGCTACCGGAGAACTCGGACAGGGCAGAGAAACGACTGCTGATGTAAGTCACCAGGTTGGGTGAACTAACATTTGTACTGGACAGAGGAGACATTCTGAAGGCCATTTATGAACGAATGCTGACAAAAGACACGAGGTTTGATTCGGTATGAGATAAAGAAAACTACGTATGTATAATCAGTGGACTACGTGAACAGTTAGCATCTACACATTAAAACATTTGCTGCGGGAGACGAAGCACCTATAAATACGCCAGGTGTGCTATGATGTCGATTCTCAAATCAGGCAACTACCAGTAGTGCCTACGCCTTGAAAATAATCATTTTTACACCTTGTTTTCTAATTCTAAAATCCAGTTTCGTTTAGTTGAAGTTGAGACCAGACAACCCCTTTAAATACACCAGCATATCTCAAAGTCTCTGTGTCAATGGCAGATATCGAACACAACAAACTTGATCACTTACAACAAACTACCCAGCTATTGATTTTAACTGAATCAGCCTTCCATAACACAATCTTGCATATCACTACCTGTCACAATCGCTTGATACGCACAATTACACCTACAGGTGCAGGGGCGCCGGCGCCCTTGGGGCTTAGACACACTGCCCAAGACAAAATGTGTGTGTGGTGGGGGAGGGGGGAAGGGGCAGTAAAGCCTTTGAATTATAAAGGAGGTAAGCTACACCTCCCTTTTCTTTTTCTTGTTTTTTTTTTTTTTTTTTTCTTTTCTTTCTTTTTTCGCCCTTGTCCACCAACAGAAATATATAGAAGTTCTGTTTAAAGTAAATCTTGTTATACATTTGACACAAAATTATAATATATTATTATACGGGGGACATCAAAAGTGACTGCATGATTTCAAGTTGTTATTTATTTAATAATTATTTAATAGATTTACACGTCTAGCGTCTCCAAACGTTCACAAACATTTCAA